TGCAGACGCCGAACCAATCCGCCTGTCGATCTCCCGATCCCTCCTACCCTCACTCGTGAACAAGACCCCGAGATACTTAAACTCCTCCACTTGAGGTAGGACCACTCCCCCGACCCGGAGTTGGCAAGCCACCCTTTTCCGGTCGAGAACCATGGTCTCAGATTTGGAGGTGCTGATCCTCATCCCAGCCGCTTCACACTCGGCCGCGAACCTACCCAGCAAGAGCTGAAGGTCAGAGCTGGATGAAGCTAGGAGGACCACATCATCCGCAAAAAGCAGAGACGAGATTCTCCTGCCACCAAACTCGACACACTCCACACCACGGCTGCGTCTAGAAATTCTGTCCATAAAAGTGATGAACAGAACCGGTGACAAAGGGCAGCCCTGGCGGAGTCCAACCCTCACTGGGAACAGGTCCGACTTACTACCGGCTATGCGGACCAAACTCACGCTACTCTGGTAAAGGGACTGAATGGCCCTTAACAGAAAGCCACCCACCCCATACTCCTGGAGCGTCCCCCACAGGGTGCCCCTGGGGACACGGTCATAAGCCTTCTCCAAATCCACAAAACACATGTGGATTGGTTGGGCAAACTCCCATGCCCCCTCCATCACCCTTGCAAGGGTATAGAGCTGGTCCACAGTTCCACGGCCAGGACGAAAACCACATTGCTCCTCCTCTATCTGAGATTCAACTATCGATCGGACCCTCCTCTCCAGTACCTTGGCGTAGACCTTTCCAGGGAGGCTGAGGAGTGTGATCCCCCTATAGTTGGAACACACCCTCAGGTCACCCTTCTTAAAGATGGGGACCACCACCCCGGTCTGCCACTCCCTAGGAACTGCCCCCGATGACCACGCAATGTTGTAGAGACGTGTCAACCATGACAGCCCTACAACATCCATAGCCTTGAGATACCCAGGACGAACCTCATCCGCCCCCGGGGCTCTGCCGCTGTGTAGTTGTTTGACTACCTCAGCAACTTCTGCCCCCGAGATCGGACAGTCCATCCCCAGGCCTCCCAGCTCTGGTTCCTCCTCGGAATGCGCATTGGTGGGATTGAGGAGCTCCTCAAAGTATTCCTTCCACCGTCCGACTATAGCCTCAGTTGACGTCAGCAGCTCCCCATCCCCACTGTAAACAGTGTGAGCGAGTTGCTGCCTTCCTCTCCTGAGGCGCCGGACAGTTTGCCAGAACCTCTTTGGAGCCGATCGATAGTCTTTCTCCATGGCCTCACCAAACTCCTCCCACGCCCGAGATTTTGCCTCGGCAACTGCCACTGCTGCACCCCTCTTGGCTATCCGGTACCTGTCTGCTGCCTCCGGAGACCCACAGACCAGCCACGCCCTGTAGGCCTCCTTCTTCAGCCTGACGGCTCCCCGAACCTCTGGTGTCCACCAGCGGGTACGGGGGTTGCCACCACGACTGGCACCGGCCACCTTACGACCACAGCTAGCAACAGCCGCCTCGACAATCGCAGAGTGGAACAAGGCCCACTCGGACTCAATGTCCCCCACTGCTCTCGGGACGTGGTCAAAGCTCTGCCGGAGGTGGGAGTTGAAGACCGTCTTGACAGGTTCTTCTGCCAGGCGTTCCCAGCAGACCCTCACTATGCGTTTGGGTCTGCCAGGTCTACGCGGCATGTTCCCTTGCCATCTGATCCAACTCACCACCAGGTGGTGGTCAGTTGACAGCTCCGCCCCTCTCTTCACTCGGGTGTCCAAAACATACGGCCGCAGGTCAGATGATACGACTACAAAATCTATCATCGACCTGCGACCTAGGCTGCCCTGGTACCAAGTGTACCGGTGGGCATCCTTATGTTCGAACATGGTGTTCGTTATGGCCAAACTGCGGCTTGCACAGAAGTCCAATAACAAAACGCCGCTCGAGTTCAGATTAGGTGGGCCGTTCCTCCCAATCACACCCCTCCAGGTCAAGCTGTCATTGCCCACGTGAGCATTGAAGTCCGCCAGCAGGACAATGGAGTCCCCTGATGGAGCACTATCTAGCACTCGTCCCAGGGACTCCAAAAAGGGTGGGTACTCTGAACTGATATTTGGCCCATAAGCACAAACAACAGTCAGGACCCGTTCCCCGACCCGAAGGCGCAAGGAAGCTACCCTCTTGTCCCCCGGGGTAAACCCCAACACACAGGCAGAGAGTCTCGGGGCTAACAAAAAGCCAACCCCAGCCCTCCGCCTCTCACCCGGAGCAACTCCAGCAAAGTAGAGTGTCCAACCCCTCTCCAGGTCTCGGGTTCCAGAGCCAATGCAATGTGTCGAGGTGAGTCCGACTATATCTAGCCGGTACCGCTCAACCTCTGCCACAAGCTCTGGCTCCTTCCCCGCCAGCGAGGTGACGTTCCATGTCCCAAAAACTAGTTTTCTTGTCCGGGGATTGGACCGCCAAGGCTCCCGCCTTGGTCTGCCACCCGATTCGCATTGCACCGGACCCTTCACGTTCCTCCTGCGGGTGGTGGGTCCACAGTTGGACGAGCCCATGTATCCGGTTCGGGCTGGGCCCGGCCGGGCCCCATGGGCGAAAGCCCGGCCACCAGGCGCTCGCTCACGGGCCCCAACCCCAGGCCTGGCTCCAGGGTGGGACCCCGGTAACCCTCCGGGCCGGGTACTCCGACTCTTCGTTTTAACCTCCATGAAAGATCCTTCGAACCGTTCTTTGTCTCACCCTTCACCTAAGACCAATTTGTCATGGGAGACCCTACCAGGGGCACTAAGTGCCCCAGACAACATAGCTCCTAGGATCATTAGGGCACTCAAACTCCTCCACCACGATAAGGTGACGGTTCAAGGAGGAGTACATTTTAATGACTTAATGACTCAGATTCAGATTTGTAGAAATACATCAAACGTGTCTTCCCCTTTTACTACCTAAGAACAGTTTTTGAAGGAGCAAGCCTGGTTATGTTCCACCAATGTGGCCAGGATGTTAAGCAGATGGTGATGTTAATTATGAGGTATAATTCAATCCAGAGACACCCAGGTATTTGAAAAAGTGGCTAAATGCATGCGATTCTCGATCATTTAGGAAGTGGTGACACAAGCAGGCTGTGTGCATCAAACACTGTTGTTTTTATAAGATGAGGCCATTTTTGGCAGTTTTGAAATCAAGACTGAGCAAAAAATATCATTGATACAAAATTCAACATTTGTTTTCATTGCTACCGAATTAATAAAACTTTCACTTGATTTATTTAATTATTTTATGAAACTTTAGGCTGAGAAACTGTCCCAAAACAATAAGACGGGGGTATTCAGTTCTGGGCCTGGAGGGCACGTTTTAGTTTCAACACACCTGATTTCAATCAGCAGGTGATTAACAGGCTTCTGCAGAGCCTGATGAGCTGCTGCACAGGAGATTCAACCACTGAATCAGGTGTGATGGAGCAGAGAAACCACTAAAACATGCTGGATACTGGCCTTCCAGGCTCGGAATTGAATGCCTCTGACATAGTATAACTGAATGTACCTTAGCTACTAACCCATCAAACTGTAGCTCAGTACCTGTAAAACTGGATCGTTTTTGCCACTTTTTGGTCTTTTTAAAGTTGTTGTGGCAAATCTACAGAACATGAATGCAAATACAGTCATGGAACACTCACCCCCTTCTGCCGGAACCGGAAACCCGCGACGCCGGACAAAATGAAGATTGCGTTAAACCCCAGTTCTGTTATAACATACGCGAGTGCATAATGAACGAAGAACCCAGGAAAGTGTGACGTTTTCATTCTGAGGTTTTTAGGCAAATGCAACAGAACCACTAAGCAGTTTGTCTTTTGAGTCTCTACAATTTATTTATAGCTCTACTACGTTAAGAACGTTAAAAGGCATGAAAAAAATGTTTTAAGCTGACTTGTTTTCCAAATTTGCTATTGCAGCTTTAAGAGCTTTTGTGGCCATCTAGAATTAAATAAAAATGTATATTGTTTTAATTATTTTCCAAACACAGCGTAGTAGATTTGTTTTTACCTTCTTTTGCTGACAAGTTTCAGCTAACGCTGTAGCCTTCCTCCGAGCACTGCCGATGTTGGTGGCGTTCCTTCCTTCTCGGGCATCAGAGGACGATGTCGTCCGCGTCCTCCTCGCCGATGGCAACGAGCAACAACATGATCAGCAGGGGACGACGATAAAGGATTGTTAAGAGAGCACGAATCCTCAAATATCTGAGCGGATCGCTTTAAATTCAAAACAGCATACTTAACTGGTATTATAATCATTTATAACAAGGTTATAAACTCCGACATGTTCCCTATTCAGAGATTTAGTGTAAAGACACAAAATGAAGCACAGAGTTCATAATATATCAAACGGGTGACATCTGTTTCCTGTGTAGTTGCATTGGTGATGCTGTCAGTGACAGCTAATAATGCGCCACTTTACTTCTGAGAAACTAAAGTTTGTTTTACTGAAATGATGATAAAGTGTCACAGAAATAACAGTTCTGTTAACAGTGGAAACAAAAGATTAGAGACAATCATCACAGCTGACACCTTATCCTTGTTCTGAATGCTTCTGAAGAAATGTGTGAAAGGAAATCATATTTCTTTTACTTCTCAGCAATTTGTGTGTATTTGTGCAGACTTGGTAGCTTGGAGAGGTCAGCCATTATGCCAGATGTCAAAAATGGTAATCTAAGATCACAAAGTTTACATTTTAATCCATAAAATCATACCAATTGTGAAACTAAGCATGCCTTTTTTCAAAATAAATGAACCATTGTTATGATAATTTTATGCATAAATAATATAATTTAATCAAACTAATCGTAAGATTTGTGGTTTCATTTTTCTTGCAATAACAGAAAAACAAAATCCAAAAGCCTCCTCCTCTTTTAATCAGCAGCTCATATCGACCCTTTGCTCTTTTGTTGTCCCTCAGAGCAAAAGCCCCTGAAGCTGCGAGAAATAGAGGACAGCTATCATTGGACGTCTTGGGGACAGATTTTTAACCGTCTTGTTTTGTGTGTCTGTTTCTGACAGGTGAAGTTCTCCGTCTGGGGAGAATCTCAGGCCACACGGTGAACGGCGGCTGGTCCTCCTGGAGCTCTTGGTCTCAGTGCAGCAGAGATTGCAGTCGAGGAATCCGGAGCCGAAAGAGGACCTGCAGTAACCCCGAGCCCCGGTACGGAGGTCAGACTTGTCTCGGTCCAGCACAGGAGTACCAGGAGTGCAACATCACCCCTTGCCCAGGTGAGCGTAATATAGAAGGTGTACTCACTCTTCTATTTCAGCTGGATTAAAAAAAAAAAGAATTGAATTTTGCCCAATGAACAGAGGACTTGCAAAGATAAGACCAGTTACACGATCAGAAGTCAATACCATGGCAAGTTTAGACAAATACACGCTTGTCCACTCTGCATTTAAGCTGCGTGGTCCTTTCTTGACTATCAGATAAAGAATCACAGCGACAAATGACCCACCAACTCATTTGAGCCCTCAAAAGAAATCCGTTGCAGATAAGAGGTGTGACGAAGACCCCAATTTAGTCCAAGAATCAAAGAGACAATCCCAGCGGCGCTTTAGTGTGTAATTACTATTGCTGTGTAATTATGTTGCCAGCTACGGGAGGCCTTATTCTGTTGTGAAAAGCCCCGAGACGATGTATTTTCAACACTCGTCTGGCAGGAGAAGGCAAGAGGAAGCTTTCTAATTAAAAGAATAGTCCGTTTGACGAGATGAGTTAGCTGTCTAAATGGAAATCCAGCTCCTAGTTTAGCTACAAAGACCACCTGGTATTCACCAACAAACAGGGAAGTGTGTCTCTATCTCAGATGATTATTAATCAAACCCCCCGTCCATGGAGGAAGGCCTGGATCTGTTTTCTCCTTAGAGGAGACTTGGCAAGCCATCCTATGTATGCAAATATAAAGTCTTACCATGACTCATAAGCCCCCTTCAGGCAGGCCATGAAAAACGGAGATGTTCCGGACTCTGTCCGTAAGACCTTTGTGTCTGAATACAAACATCCGGATAACGTTTTCCGTAATTTAACCGGACGACGCCCCTAGTAACAGGTCCGGACTTGTTACGGACAGGGTGGCTGCTTCAGACTGGTGAGGTCGAGTTCCGGACAGGGAGGAGAGGGAGGAGGAGGGGACCGGGGGACGCTGTGCGCACCTAGATAGCCCGCTCCTGTAGCATGCGGCGAACCATGGCAGCTCGCCTCCTACGGTACTGTCTCCACGCGAAGGAGCGCATCACACCGCTTCCGTGATTCCTTTTAACCATTGAGCTTCATCACCCTGGTCTCTTGTGCGTCTTCGTGTGCGCAGAATTATGCTTAACATAAGTCCGACCAGTGAGAGGAATTCTATCTCTTCGTCTGCCATGTTTGACTGAATGGCTTTGTTTGAGTAAATGACGCATGTACGCCCGCCGCACTAGATCTCCCCCCCCCCCCCCCCCCCCCCCCCCCCCCCCCGACATCTGGAACTTTTCCCTGCCGTGTGAAGGCAGCCGAAAGGACAAGTTCCGGTACAAAAGTGGTGTGTCTGGAAACACAGTTCCGGTTAAAACCCGGATTGAATTGTCCACACATATTCCAGAATGTCAGTCTGAAAAGGGCTATAGACAGACGTCAGTAAAGGGGCAGAATCTGAAGTTGTCTTTCACGGTCTCCACACTCAGTTGCACTAGGACCAATGAGAGCCACAAACTTGACGTATTCATTTCTCCAGAAATCGGTCAACAGGGCAGTCCCTCATACACCAGCGATGACGTAGATGAAGCAAATACATCTTTTTTCTAAATAAAGGACTTAAGTACCTCTATCTGCTCATGTCTCAAAGAAAAGCCCAAGTCTAAAACATTCAAAGTTGAAGCCAAAGCCGTTTCGAACAAGCGCCGTTCTTGAGCCGACGGTATCTTTGTAGTTTTTCTCCGTCACAGGAGTGGTGCTAAGTCCGTCCAGTGTCTCTCTGCAAACACAGAGTGCTTTGGCCAATCAAAAATTGTTGTATGGCCAATGATAGACCTCTTTGCCAGTGATGAAAGGGAGTCTGATGTGATTTTATTGGAGGTTGAATGATCTCACAAAGTACTTGTTCGAAAATTGCGCTCCCAGGGATTTTTGACCCTAATGGCCCTCCGTTGACAAGGTCTTACTCAACACAAACATACCGCTTGCTTGCATTGATTTATGTATGTGCTGCCCCCATCGCCCCAAAAAATACACACAACACTTTTATTGTTTATTAATGCTTAATAATGCACTAAGTAACATTAAGAAAGGGACCTTTCATTCAGACAGATTAGTGCAGCTTTCCAGTAAAGTCACACATGAGTTTCTGAAGTAGTACACCTATTCTTGGATGTTGACTTTAATAATACCACAGTTACAGTGTGCTGATGAACAACTCCACACTCCTGTCCCCCAAAGGAACCAACTTAACCCAGCCTGAGTAGCAATGAATACTAATGCGTGCTCAATTAGCACCCCTCTGGAAGTGAGATATTATTTTGAGGCTGTGCCCCTGGACCGATTGTGATGCTCCTGTGGCTAATCACGAATTGTTGTTTTTTTTTTCTTTCAAAGTGTTAGCTTACTGTGAAGGAGAAGGAATGGGGGGAGGGGGAGATGTTGTGCCCTCCATCCATCTGCTCTGGAAACAAATGAATTTGTGTTTTTATTGCGTCTGCGCCTTAGAAGAGGCGATCCTTCATCGAGTGCCAAGAATCGACTGATGTGTCACTCCGCGATAGAGAAATTACACAGAGATGACAAAAAGCTTCGGCAACTTCAATTACCTGTTTAGTGCCGCCAGCCAGCTTCAGGTCTTTTATAAGGAATCAGGACGAGGATTTCTCGCTCCTACAATGAAGTGAGGCTTTAAACAGATGATTGGAGACGGGTATTTACTTGTGCTGAGGTTCATGGGAAAGGTTTATCCATCTTTGAGCTCGTCTTACTCCTCTTTCATTTCTCACTCTTCTGCTTTACTGTCTCTGAGTGTTGATGGTGTCATAAATGCACTTCAAGCTGACATTATATAAAGAAAGAGATACGAACGCACACATCTGGATGCTTTGTTTATCCTAATTAGTCACTGAAAACTTCAGAGTCATGTTTAAAAGAAAGGTCAAATCTTTTATTCCAATGTAATAAAATTTTAGATAAGATCTGATTTTAGATTATATCTGATAGAATTCTGGATTGAGTGTTTTATTACTTTCCCTTATTTCAAACCTAAAATGTGTCTTAAATACGAAGGATCATTAAAACTTCATCAATTCATGAGAAAAATTACTAAAAATCTCCGAATACTAACAAATTCCACAACGAAAAAAGCAAAAAGTGTATCAGTCACACAGAACATCCAGTTATTTATATAAGTGCTTAAAAAGCTAAAAGAGTAAAAACACACTTTCCCTTTCTAAAGCAGAAACACCTCACATATAAACATAGAAATGAATGTTTTAATATGCTATTAGTCTAATTATGTCGTTTTTTTACTCACCAATGATGATGATCTGGACACTGGAGGCTTTCAGCTCCTCCAGCTCAGAGTTAATTAGCTTTATTTAAATTCAGGTAAAATATTCTGTAGAAGTTTCACCTAAAATGACGTAGCTTTATTCCACAACATTTGTTAAACTTAAATCTTCTTTCTGTTATTTTATTTGGAAAAGTTAGCTGAAGATGATGCCTGGGCCTAACACAGAACCCTGAGGTACTCCGCATGAGAGATCTGTGGTGTTTAGGGTGGTCTAGTTACATCAACAATGAATGTTAAGATGCTCTGGAACAAAACAGAGACCCACGCTGAGGGCAGAAAGTGTGTTTCGGAAACATTAACATTTGGTCCTGGTGTGATGGGTTTTAGTGGACGGCAGCTGGTCGTGCTGGTCTTCGTGGTCCAAGTGCTCTGTAACATGTGGCGGGGGCCACTACATGAGGACTCGGTCCTGCAGCAACCCTCCTCCAGCTTACGGAGGAGACATCTGCCTGGGTCTGCACACAGAGGAGGCTCTATGCAACACACAGGCGTGTCCGGGTACAAACACACACACACACACACACACACACACACACACACACACACACACACACACACACACACACACACACACACACACACACACACACACACACACTGTCAAAAGCTGCTCTTACACACAACTGCTAATCTATCACACATTCATCACTTTTCTTCTTTAGTTTCTCCCAGCACCTCAAAAGGCATCCCTGCATCACTGACACACCGAGTCATTTGCTGTAATACACACACACACACACACACACACACACACACACACACACACACACACACACACACACACAAGTCGACAGGCTGTGAGATGTGCTGTCATTGCTGTTTTTAGAGAGCTGGTCCAGCTGGTCTGAGTGGTCCCACTGTGACTCCAGCGGTTCCCAGCTGCGCGTGCGCCACTGCGATGTGCTTTTCCCGACTGGAAACCAGTGCTCAGGAAACCGCAGCGAGACCCGACCCTGCTCTCCAGACTCTAACTTTATACCAGGTGATCACACACACTCACACACACACTTATGAAGCAGTCTCGGTGCACTCTAAATCCTCATTAACATCACAGACGTCCATGCACATGTTTACGCCCATGAACACAATGAGAAACACTCACAAATGCAGCTGAATTTTTCTCAAATGATAATTTTTATAACTTTTTTTTTTACCTACTCTGTGAAAAGTTATTTTTGTTAGTGCTCTCTGGCATCTGTGTTACCATGGCAATTTTACTTCTGCCGTGTGTGGGAGAGCTTGTTTTTAGTATTTTTTTAATAAAAGAAATGTGCATTACTTCCTGTTAGACTCTAAAGCCAGTAAAATAGTCTACAGTGAATGTTACTGAGTTTATAAAGAGATAAACCACTCATGGAGCCTGCTGCACACCCACTCAGTGACACTTTAAGGGGTGCATAAACATATTTACCCCAAAAAAGAAGTGATAAATTGCACTAAAGCTAAATAAATAATCCCCATAATCCCACTTTTTTTTTTTTATCTGAACACCAAACTGTGAACTGCATTTATTCTTATTTGGACTGTTTCTTTGTAATATTTCAGAGGAGACATATTATGCAAAACTCACCTTTGTGTTGCCATGTGGATCTCTACTGCCTCTATAAACACTGCAAACTTGAAAATAACTCATTCATCTGCTTTCTGTCAGTGTTTGGTTTTAGGATTATTGTGCTTAAAAGGAGCTGTTTCAAAAAGTCCCCATTTGTGATGTCACAATAAGGAAAATTCAAATAGAACCACCTCTCACATGCAATAGGGAGCTACTACTGCTATTCCAAGCCTCTCCCAGATACTAGAGCTTCTCAGTTCACAGCAGCCCAGGGTTTTCCTCAGAAAATAAGTTAAGCCTGGTGGCTTCGGCTGTCGGGGGGTTGCGCGCTCCGTTCCGCAGCGCCCCTCCATTAGAGCGGGGGGGGGGGGATGCACACGTTCCACTGCTGTTTCTTGCCTGAATTAGCTGATGGAGGGCTCTAGTTTTGTTGCGCCGTTCGTGTCAGCTGACAACGGTAGGGTCGGGGAGGGGGCGGGGCGTGATGGTTAGCCTGGCGGGTGGCCAAGCAAAGCTTATAAAGCGCTGGGGGGAACCCTGGCAGCCAGTCAGAGGATTGGTGGGCATGACCAGAAACAGCTCATTCAGGAGGGTACTGAAACTGTCAAGAATAAAACTGGTGAAATCGCTTAACGCAAGAGGGACTTTGTGCTAAAAACTTTATAAAGATATTTAATATAGACCATACAACTATTTAAAGTTAACCATTTTTCAAAGTTTTTTATTAATTTAATCACGTTTCATGTGATTTTCACCAATTTGTTTAATTTTTAAGGCACATTTCAGTTTCCTTTTCAGAATCAGTTCCAGTGTGTTTGTGCTGAATACGTAATCAGAGGTTTCGCCTTCACACACCGTTTGTATCAAAGGTTCACAGTGAGGTCTTGAAATTTGCATTTCCATTTTGTTAGGAGAAATCACTCCCTTCACCACAACCAACAAACGGAAAATGGAAACCTGCCTCTGACTGGTAGCTGAAAGCAAACCTGCTGTTCTCTAAACAGTTTTTTACTTGCAACACCAATGGACAACTTTTAATTTTCACATGGATATTTTACAGTGAAATATGCTGTTTTCTCTAGATTTTTGGCTGTTGTAGTCTTATACAGAGAGAGGCCTTGAAGGTGAAATTATAACTATCATAAACAAGCCACCTGCTATAGCTAGCGTTAACAGCAAGCTAACGCCAACATGAACCAGCTGATGCTAAATAAGCCACAAAGTAAAAAGATCCACACTGTTGAATAAATAATATTATTACTTACAAGTCCAGCTTCAACAAAGCCAGGTCACCATCAGTCTGTGATTTCCTGGCCTCCTTTAGCTCCCTCAAACTAGTGTAGGCTGTGCAGATGTTCACTCAGGATGTTGCTCTTTGCTTCAGGCTCCACTATGATGCTATTTAAAAAAACATAATTGTACTTCTTTTTTTACTTTTTGTTGACGGGAGACAAGCAGAAAAAGCTACAAGCTAGCCCTTAAATTAACTACCAGCATGTAAAAGAGCTATTGCCAGAAATCCTCCCACTTGTGCACCTTCCCAAAGCACAAAACTTAAAGGTGCAGTATGTAAGATTATAGTGAGAAAATCCCAAGAGTCTAATGTTTCAGTCATTTTGCAAGGAAAGTCATACTGAAACATGTTTCATATCCAGCTGGCAGCTGGGATCGTCAGTTTTTCTCCTTTCAAAACAAAGGAAGGAGGGACGTAACTGTTTATCATCAGTGAGTGTGAGGTTGCCATGTCTCCTGTGAGCTAATACTGCAGAACCTGCAATTATAATTTGATGACGGATGGCACAACGCTCCAGAGTTGTTTAAAGTGGTTGCAGTAACCAAATTTTACCACACGATGTCATTTTTACTTCATGTCTACATAATGCACCTTTAAAATGTAGTCCTAATAAAAAGGTGAAAAGTAGAGAAAATGCTCCTGTATGCCGTACACACACGCTTCTCTTTTCTCACCATTAGCACCGACATGTGCTCACTTCTCCTTATTGACACTTAGCAATGCGAGACACAAAAAGGACACTGATCTTATAATCTAAGCTAAACTCCTCCCTTTTACAGAGGACATTTCACATCATGCAGCCAAGAATAGAAAAACAAAGCTTTATATTTATTTTTTTTGCAAAATCCAAATCCGATGATCATAAATAAATCTAAGGTGAGGTAATGAATTATTCAGACAGAATAAACATTTGACTGAAACACATATTTATAACCTTTCTGCATTAATTAGCGAGGACATAATACTCGTAAAAAATATTCACAGATCTGTACAGAATCACCCATTTTCCATTTTATCGTTCCATCCATCCAACCTTTATGGGAAAGGAAGTCCATTACGGTTCATTAGCAACGTCTTGTACTTCATTTCCTTTTAATGAGAACTGATACGTTTCATAAACCACTCCAGGTGCCACGGCTTTGATTACCTCACGGATTTGTAACGATTATCTGTTTCGTGCAGCTTTCATCTTCACCTCCAGTTGTACAATTCGTCGTGTAAAGGGTGGGGGTGCATGTAGAGGGTTTTCAGGTCTGATGCTTTTTTTTTAAGTGAAAAAATTCTGTTTCTTTTTTCTCTCTTAGAAGTCTCTATTGCACGCTCCAGTCAGGAGGAGAGGCGCTGTGGAGGTAATTTATGTCTGTATGTGTAGCTGTGTGTATGTGTAAAGAGAGAGAGAGAAAGCATAACACCTGGAATAACACACCTGGCTAACGAGGTAGTTTTTCAAGCCTGAACAGCAGCATGCAAACTTGGGTAGCAGTGCACAAACTTTTACTCCGAGTAAACAAACTCCTTCTCTGCATTATCCTGTTATTTCATCTCCTGTAAAACATTTACAAATGATAAAACGTGATAATTGGATGTTAGTAACAAAAACACTCCCTGGAAACTTTTTATAGCCCATTATAATTGGCTCCACTGCTGCTTAATGGGTTCATTAAGCCCGTTTTGACCGCTGGAACTTCCAGGGAAGTTCATCAAAGCTTCCAGGTATTGTTACATTTTAATTGTCTTTAACTCTTTGATGTCATTTGTCTGTGTCAGGCCAGACCTTTGACCTTTGACCTCACCTGCAGGGGTCAACACATTTTGTATAAAATTAATTTTCTCATTTAGATTTTTTTAAAATAAGCTTCTGTGGAAAGGTTGTGAGAAGCCCTCTTTGAATGACCTCAGTTTGGAGAAATAGTGATGAAATGTGTCCAGACTGGAGGGCTAACAGCAATCCAGGAACACCTCATGTCCCTTTGACTTTATTAAGCTGAATGTTTCCTATCATGACGCATGCACTTACACTGTAGATAAGACATTTATACACACAAGACAACATTTTAATGAAGTAAATAAGTGATTAATTAAACGCCATCATTAAGGAAAACGTTGCTGCACAAACACTGCATGAATTGGCACCGGCAGCTCTGTAAACACAAGTTATTCTTGATCTAGATGAAGCATCAGATGACTTGCTGTTCACACAGAGAGTTTCCAGCTGCCTGCAGAATGTTGAACGCAGCAATAAAATATAGAAGCTTTCATCATTATTATGGCAAGGTCTCGCTCACGCAGGTAATGCACCTTATGTTAAACTGTCCCGGAGACCCGGCCCAGGCTAAAATAAGTGGACCTGAACCAACCTGGGTTGTCATTTTTTTCTTTTATGAGTTAGAAAAGGAAGTAATAAATATTCATGTTTAACAGCTCTGAAGGGCTTTTTTGTTAGGTGAATAGTTGTTTCAGTTAAGTCAGCTTTCTAAATCGCCCCCAGCCTGTTGTTCACACCCTCTTCCATTTTTTCTTTCCAGATTTTAACCTTTTCCACATGATAGCCGTGGGGCTCAGCAGCTCCATCCTCGGCTGCTTGGTCACCCTGCTCGTCTACTCCTACTGCCAGCGCTACCAGCAGCAGTCCCACGATGCCACCGTCATCCACCCCATCTCTGCCGCGCCGCTCAACACCAGCATCACCAACCACATCAACAAACTGGACAAGTACGACTCTGTGGAGGCCATCAAGGTGTGTTTTTTTGGGTTCCCGCTGGACAGATGCCCAGATATGATAAAGTTTGTATAATGTCTATCTTAAGCCGTGTACACACGTAGCTGGGTTTTTTAAAACCAAATGTCCTCCAGCACCCGCCTAGAACAAAAATTTGGGTCCACACCACCTTGGTTTCAGCAACAAAAATTCAGAGCATTGTGAAAAACAGTTATAGTCACACCAAGCCTGTAGGTGGCAGTAGTTCCCAAATTTTGTGTGTCTTTCTGTGTGAACCAAGGGGCAAACAGTGAAGCTAAAGCAGAAATGACAACAATTGCAGTTCCCCACTCATCCACTAGGGGCTGGCTCCAGAAAGGAGCACGTTTCCATTGACTTCCATGTTAAAAAGGCCAACTTCACAGCAGAAATAAACATGTTTTCAGCCTAAAATGTTTCAGGCTGCATAGTTCATGACAACTCTGAGGGGGGTGAATCTTTGTAATGCTGCTGTTCAGATGTAATTAAGGCTTGAGATCAGTAATAATCAGGGGCGTGTCCGTTTGCTTGACAGCTGTCCAATGAGCTGTCAGTGCTAGCGCTAGCAGCTTGCCTCCTGCTTTCTACAGGGAAGGCCTCAGCCTCCTGCCTCACGTTTAAAGTGTTACAGCCTAAAAGGCAGGGGCTAGCCGAGTCGCTTCACCATGGTATTCTTAGTAAAAGCACCGCCATCCTCCGTTAGAAAGAATAGTTTTTCTGCATAATTTTTCTTGACTTTAATGTGAATGTCAGGCCAAACCGTTGTTGGATACCCGGCTACGTGTGTACGTGGCCTCAGGCTGGTTACTTCAAGGCAGTGAGCAGTAGTTAGCCTCTTTTCCTCATGTCAGTCATGATTAAACACACTTCTTACTGCACGACTGTCACTGTCACACCACCTCCTGTGTCACACCGACACTGGTTACAGAACAGGTAGCATTTGTTCTCTCTCTCTCTCTCTCTCTCTCTCTCTCTCTCTCTCTCTCTCTCTCTCTCTCTCTCTCTCTCTCTCTCTCTCTCTCTCTCTCTCCCCCCCCCCTGTGTGTGTGTGTGTGTCAGTACCTTCTGTCTCAGTGCTTGAATGCTGCTTTCTTCTAAAACACTGTTGGTGATCTTAAAACGGTGTGATTGCATCCTAAAGTGAAGAGAGTGAGCCGTGTGAGAGCCAGGGAAGACGATTATTGGTATTCACTGATAGATCAGAGCACACTCAGCTGATTGGTGTTTCTCCGCCGTGGCGTCACCTGAATGCTTTCTTTAATCTAAGAAGAGAAGTCTTACAGCAAATAAGGTAGAATGACAGTTTAGTTTTGCTCTCTTGACTCGTTCAGTTGCACATCTAGCTAAGCCAATTTGCAATTTAAAAGGAAAAATTAAAATAAAAGCAGTTTATGACTTTTTGCTGACGATCTCATGGCGCCAATGTGCATTTTTTTTAAAAAGAACTGTGGCAGAATTAATCGAGATCTTTTTAAATTGCATCCTTGATTTCACAAATTGCTGTTTTAATTCTGACAAACACATTTTATTTTACCTCGATTTGCTGTGTAGCTTTTGATGTTTTTCAGTTAGTTTGATTTTTAACCAAATAAAAGAAAATTAAAGCCCATTTTTAAAATTATTCAGCATTGTTCCAAAGCTTATTCTTAAAATTTCTGCTCAGATTAATCGTTTTTATATTGAATCCAAAAGAAAATAACAAACACTTTGAAAACTGAAACACAAAAACGTCATGATAAGACAGAACATGGTCTTTTGTTTGCTTAATATAAATTTGAATACAAAGAAATAACTTTTTTTTATTTTAATTTTCATGAATAAAATGCTTAATCTGATGCACACCACACACAGATGTGCTCAAATGAGAGCTGTAGGCAGAATCTGTCTGTTTCCTGTTATCAGCTCATTTTGGAGTCCAATTAGTATTAATCACGTTTGAATGGGTTCTGGCTGCATGAAGGTCAATAGTCTGTGTAGAGTCCAAATGAGATTTAACTCGGTGGCAGAAAACTGACAGTGATCAAGCTTTTAACCAGCTTTTCTTTACCTGTCTACAATTGTGCAATAACATATCTAAAGTAGAACAGATCTTGACCCGTTTTTACTCGTCCTTTGGGATGTCTTTTTACCTTTCGTTCACACTTAGCCCAGTTTTCGTCAGACTGTTGGAGTTAGCCGCAGACAGAGCAGCAACAGCTTCAAACCTGGAGCTCCTCACTGTCAGGTGAAAGGAGAAAAAGAGGAAGCTTACCCTAAAAATGTCTGCTTTGGTGGGATTAGTTCAAGCTCCTAAAGGGATTTTTCCATATATTTTCAAGTGTTTCTGTGTAAAGGTTAATTGAGTACAATTAACTGTAGATATTGTCCTAAACATCCTCTGTTTGGACAAATAGTTCACATTCTACCGGAATGATGAGCTAACGGCTAGTCCACCTGCCAGCCTAAAACAAATTGATCTTAAAATTTCTCCTGTTTCCCAAATTTTACTAGCCTGGCAAGCCGTCCTATGTGTGTGAAAATATAGTCTGGCCTCGATCTAATGACGGCTCTGTTGTGGGGCGGGATCTAAAGTTGTCCTTCAGACATGCTATTGGACACTTTCAGTCAACGGGCAGTCCGCCATGCACCATCGACGGTGAAAACACATCGTTTTTCTACATAACCTTAAGTATCTCGATCTGCTCTGGGCTCAAACAAAAGCCCAAGTCTAAATAGTCAAAAGTTGATGCCAAAGCCATCACCATCTCAGTTTGGCTCAGTAGCATCCCGCCTACCAAACTGATAGAGGACTGTGATTGGCCCACCAAATGGAGTGCTGGGATTGGCCAGCCACTTGAGTAGCCAGGACTGCAGAGGTTCCAATAGAGCGTCATGTAGAGCTAAATCATTTAGCTTTGGCAACTGATGGTCTAGATTTCTAGATTAAAATTTTACAGCTTTTTACAGATAATGCGGTTATTCTTCACAGAAATGCTAAGAAGCCATACATGACCTCTTGATCCACCGCATGGGCCAAACTTTTTAGCTGCTGGTGGTATTTACGCTAGTAGCCATAGAATTCCATGTAACCAGTGATTAAAGAAGTACTTGATTTTTCTACTTAGGTAAAAGTACAGATAAAGGTAAAAGTGAAAATATCTAAGGAAATTTTGACTTGAACAAAAAATATTAAAGAATGCATTTTCAAATGTACTTAAAAGTAAAAGAGTAAAAGTTTTCAATTAACACTTAATTCTGTGCATAGTGTGTGTAGAAGTGTGCTGTCAAACCAGGGGGGAGGGGCAAATACCAATTAAAGTACTATTACCATTAGAACAGTGGTCCACCGCAGAGAGGAAGTGAGCTGTAAAATGTAGTGAAGTAAAAGTAAAAAGCAGGCCTCAAATTATTTAAGTAAAGTACAGATAATAAAAGATTGTACATTAATAAAGTACTTGTTGCTGTTATAGTCCTTCACTGCATGTAGCAAAGTAAAGGTTAAAAATGTATGTTACATGAGCTGCAGGGAATTTTCCAGGATTCAGGCTAATTTGAGGCATTAGCCATCCACTTTGGTCTCTGATGTACTCAAACTAACCATTAGCTCATCAATCCTGAAGAACAAACTGTTTCTCCAAACACAGGCCACTCAGGAAGCCGCCTACAACGGGTAAGATAGTAAGAATTTATCATTTTTACATTCTAACAATTAAAAAAAAAAGCCCAAAAGTGTTTGGTTTAGAAGATTTGTTTTAAATCTAAAGCACATGTTGGTTAAAATATGATAAAAGCCAAAAGGTGAAGCCAACTTTGTGTCTTATTATGTTATATACATAACTTTCTGGTTCTTCCTTTTTGCCCAAATATGGTCTCCATATCCCCATTCTGCCCGGGATGTGACTTCCTGCATTATTTAAGGCTGCATACTCTCAGATGAAGACTTCCCCACATCAGAGAGTTTGCAAAATAACTTCAGATATCTGAAAATGTTTTGTTGAGCCGTTACAGTCTGAGCAGCTCCTTCGGCTCCAAGCTAAACTCCTCTGAATGTAATTTCTTGGGGGGTGTAAGGAGGGTTCATCTGTCACGCAATTAGAGTCAGGATCACGGAGCATAATTCAGTTAGTGCGGTTGCAGTTGGAGGCAGATACGAGTATAGACAGTCGGTGTGGAGATACAAAAGGAGGTGGATAACAAATGAGGAATCTTCCGTGAGCACGTTCTGCCTCCAGCTCTCAATCAGTGAGCCTAAACAACCAAATGTTGCAGTCACTTTCCAGGTGTGCAAAAACTACAGGTCCTTCTCCGAAAATTTGCATATTGTCATAAAATTCATTATTTTCTGTAATGTACCAATAAACATTAGACTTTCATATATATTAGATTCATTACACACAACTGAAGTAGTTCAAGCCTTTTAATTTCAAATATGGATGATTTTGGCATACAGCTCATGAAGACCCAAATTTCCTATCTCAAAGAATTAGCATATCATGAAAAGGTTCTCTAAACGAGTTATTAACCTAATCATCTGAATCAACTAATTAACTCTGAACACCTGCAAAAGATTCCCTCCCAGCCTGGTTCCTTACTCAAAACCGCAAACATTGGGTAAGACTGCCGACCTGGCTGCTGTCCAGATGGCCATCATTGACACCCTCAAGCAAGAGGGTAAGACACAGAAAGAAATTTATTTTTTTCAATCTAATTATTTGTTTTCAATTTCGAGCACGGGGATTGCATCTAATTTCGTTGTACTTGTTGCAATGACAATAAAGGTTATTCTATTCTATTCTAAATTTCTGAACCAAAAGGCTGTTCCCAGAGTGCTGTATCAAGGCACCTCAGTGGGAAGTCAGTGGGAAGGAAAAAGTGTGGCAGAAAACGCTGCACAACGAGAAGAGGTGGCCGGACCCTGAGGAAGATTGTGGAGAAGGACCGATTCCAGACCTTGGGGGACCTGCGGAAGCAGTGGACTGAGTCTGGAGTAGAAACATCCAGAGCCACCGTGTACAGGCGTGTGCAGGAACTGGGCTACAGGTGCCACCTTCCCCTGGGTCAAGCCACTTTTGAACCAGAAACAGCGGCAGAAGCGCCTGACCTGGGCTACAGAGAAGCAGCACTGGACTGTTGCTCAGTGGTCCAAAGTACTTTTTTCGGATGAAAGCAAATTTTGCATGTCATTCAGAAATCAAGGTGCCAGAGTCTGGAGGAAGACTGGGCAGAGGGAAATGCCAAAATGTCTGAAGTCCAGTGTCAAGTACCCACAGTCAGTGATGGTCTGGGGTGCCATGTCAGCTGCTGGTGTTGGTCCACTGTGTTTTATCAAGGGCAGGGTCAATGCAGCTAGCTATCAGGAGATTTTGGAACACTTCATGCTTCCATCTGCTGAAAAGCTTTATGGAGATGAAGATTTCATTTTTCAGCACGACCTGGCACCTGCTCACAGTGCCAAAACCACTGGTAAATGGTTTACTGACCACGGTAGTACTGTGCTCAATTGGCCTGCCAACTCTCCTGACCTGAACCCCAGAGAGAATCTGTGGAATATTGTGAAGAGAAAGTTGAGAGACGCAAGACCCAACACTCTGGATGAGCTTAAGGCCGCTATCGAAGCATCCTGGGCCTCCATAACACCTCAGCAGTGAGACAGGCTGATTGCCTCCATGCCACGCCGCTTTGAAGCAGTCATTTCTGCACAAGGATTCCCGACCAAGTATTGAGTGCATAACTGAACACAGTTATTTGAAGGTTAACTTTTTTTGTATTAAAAACACTTTTCTTTTATTGGTCGGATGAAATATGCTAATTTTTTGAGATAGGAATTTTGGGTTTTCATGAGCTGTACGCCAAAATCATCAATATTAGAAACAATAAAAGGCTTGAACTACTTCAGTTGTGTGTAATGAATCTAATATATATGAAAGTCTAATGTTTATCAGTACATTACAGACGATAATGTACTTCATCACAATATGCTAATTTTTTGAGAAGGACCTGTATAATGTATGCCTCTTTTGATGAAGGCCCGTCACTGTGTTTTATAGGTGTTTGCTTCCTGCCACATTAGCCATTATTGCTTTGCACAGTATTTCAGACACATTGAATCCAGATTTCCTGGAAGACTTCCATGAGTTTGGTTTACGATCACAGCTATAAAGCTCCGCTTCACCATGGTTTTTATACAGTTGATCTTCTAAGGCTCCAGCATCAGTGTTTGTTTGAGGATGACTCTTGCCCGTTCCTCTCCTTCCTGCAGCCAGATGTGTCGGTCCTCTTGCCTCTGGACGACCCCACCATGCACCAGCCTCTCTCTGCTAACATGGGGGTGTCTATGCGTGGACTGGAGATTTTCTACTAACCTCTGACCTCTACGACATCCCCGCGTCTCCACCCCTAACCCAACAGCTCTATGACCTCCCCCCAACTACTACTTCCTCTTCCCCAACGTGCCCTGCCCTTCCACTTCCTGTGTGTGGCAGGTTGGAGTACAGCACTCTAGTTTCTTGTTTTTTTCTGCTCAGTCCCCTTTCATCCCTCCATCATGATCGACTTCCTTCTCTTCCCCCCGCTTGTGAGAAGGCAGTGCACCCCTCCCTTTTTGTTCTCTTTAAAAACAAGTGCTTGCATCTGCATGCTTCTTTTTTGTCTTCCATGTTTTTTTGCATTTAGCTGATTGTTTAATTTAGATGGATTAAGAAGGAAAACGCATCGTGTTGTTGGCTTTTTAACCTCCTCTGTTGCCTCTTTGTCACTAATTGCACTTTAAAGTTAAGGCAAATTCTGTCTACTGCAACAAAACCCAACGCGTAATCGTTCTTAAAGCCATTTAAAGGAGGAAAGGCACAGTAGATGATGCTAACAAGCATCGCTGCACAGCTGTTTAAAAGCAGCCAAGGGCCCACCTGCAGAGATACATAACTGTCTGCAGTGCTGCAGGAGAGCCGATTACTCTCCTTTTGTGTACAAATCACATAATGAGGACGCAGCAGAATGTAGTTTTTTTGCACGGCACACTTGTTCCATATCGGTCTCAGTCGGAAGCATCCATCAGCTGTAAATTCAGCATCATCATCAAGTGTTCATTTATGCTGCCCTGAGGGACTCCCATCACACGTTCCACCACAACAGACTGGATATGAGCGCGTCTATTTGCCAAATTGCTGATGTTGTGTTGAGCCGCGCGTCTGAAGTCCGTTCTGTGTTTATGGTGTTGCGCTGGGACAGAGGAGACGCCCCCGTGGCTCTTCCTTATTGTTTAACAGAAACGCGACTCTCTTTTGATCGATTTTTATGGCTCCGATTGTCCTGAAGGACCAACAATCCGAGGGCCATAAAAACTGCTGATGCCGGGTATTAGAGATGACAGAGGTGGACATTCGGATGTGCATCAAAATAATTTCGCCCTGTGGTGACTTATCATTTTTCCAGCCTGTTTGCAAATGCTTTGACCTTGCTCTGTGAAATGTATGTTTCATTCACCGAGCGGCCTCTTCCATTGATTTATGTTGCTCTTTTGAATTTACGTTTCACCTTGCCATCCGGGCTGAATAATCTCTTGATCTATCTGGTGCAAAACGCTCCGTGTTGAATGACTTACTCCCTTTTTTTTTCTTCTTTGCAGGCCTTCAACAAAAATAATTTGATTCTGGAGGAACGAAACAAGTACTTCAACCCACAGCTCACCGGGAAGACTTACACCAACGCATACTTCACCGACCTCAACACCTACGATGACTATTAACCCCTGAACTCCATGCCACAGCGGAGACCCCTACCCCGATGTCCATTTAGACTTTTCTTTGTTCTTTGTATCGAGATTCGTGGAACCATGCCTGGGATCGTCCCGCTTCGAGACTCAGTGGCAGCTGGTGATGAAAACACTCAGTGATGCAGACAGAGAGAAACTTCCTCTCAGGTGCCTTGGAGGACGCTCGGAAAACTGTCGCATCTTGCTTTGACTCTCTCTGAGAAACGGACAACTGGATTTTCCAAAGGGAGAACTCTGCTGAGACACCGTTGGAAAAGCGTTCCCTTCTGCTGGAATTTTTTTGTTTTTTTCCTGGTGCCTCTGAAACAGACGTGTTTGTAACAATGGGGGAAACGACCACAAATTGCTTTGCATGAGTTCATCCGATGTGTTTTTCTCTGTTTCGTTTTGCATGACGGATCGCGTTCCCGTGTTCCGCTGGCGGTGTTTTGGTTTATTTGCTCTTCTTGGGTTGGTGGAGCATCCTGGTCTGCAGATGCAGTGAACTCCAGATCGATCAACGTCCACGCCCTAGTCGTAGAGTCAGGATGTAGATATTTGAAGTCCGCGATCAAGACCCTTCATGTTTTTTTTTCCTTCTCCTTTGTTTCTTTAGCAGTTAGAAAAGATCGAGCCGTCAATGTAAATGTGACATTTATTCTGTTCTTTTAGGAGCTTCATATGTTTTTGTACAGAAAATGATGTTTGATGCCTCGATGTCTGTAGATTTTCTAAAAAAAAGGACGCATTTATTCAATGTCTCAAGTGTTTAAAGAACACATTATTTTGAAAAGATAAAAATTCTTTCATGTGTGCATTTTGGCGATTGATCGGGAGTGTTCATCACAGGCTGCATCATTGTACTTTTTATATATTTTATGTAAAAAGAAAAAACTTATGGTTTTGACTTTTGATAGTATTAATTTGGCTTCAGACGGAGCGTAGCGAGTCCCATCACATTTACTGTAATCATTTCCTTTTAGAAAGCGATCAGGTTAATTGTTGCTCTTTTTACATGTTTGCCTGTGTTGCTGTGCATAAATTAAAAATGCTTCCTATAAGATGTCTTCTGACACTTGTCCAGCTTTTGTTTAATTACCCAGCGTGACAGTATATACAGCAAACAGTGTAAACAAGCAGGTTAAAAGAACAGGAAAAGCAGTTAAAGGCGATAAATAAATAAAAATTAATAAAACTTATATTGAAAGGACAATCAGTCTAACATAGTAAAGCTATAAATATGTCGTGGAGATTACAAAAACAAAACAAAAAATAAGTAGCTCTCTCGCATTTGTCTAAAAACCTCCACCAATAACAAGTCTCAGGGCAAAAGCAACTATTGGGCCATGCGGTTGTCTGCTTCACCAAATCGCTGCACCTCCGCACTTCCCCGAGTCCTCCATTCATCTCACGCTCACATTATTAGGAACAGAACACCACAGGTGTGAGAGGTTCTCTGCTCAATAATATCAGTTGGCTAATCCCTACATTAAACAGAGGCGGAGGTTTTGGGTTTCAGCACCTACAATGCAACCCTAAACCTAATTCCAAAACAATTTCTGTCCTGCGTCTAATAAAAACAAGCATTCTAACACAATAAGACTTAATGACATCAACGACTCCTCGGGGGGGTAGGGAGGTTACCATGGCCTGGATTACTGAGAACCCTCACCAGCACACTTCAATTTTAGGACAAGCTACCAGAGTCCCAAAGAGAAAAACACCATTTGAAGTCACGGACAACAAAAGACGTTTGGATGTAGAAAACAACGGCTGGTGTTTAGCGTTGTCTTGTTTCCTCTGGCTATGCGTGTTTCTAGTTCCAGAGGCTGCGGAACCAGGGAAGATACCCGGGGGAAGTATTCCTTGACCGTGTCTGCTTTCAAAACGTAGCTTGTTTGCAGATTCGCCATAGGAAGCCTAAGTCACTTTCGCACTATGGGTCTCCGAAAGAATGAAAAAATAAGTGCAAGTCAAAGGGGCTAAAAACGCTATTTTCTAATTCCGCTTGTTTTGAGCCATGGATTTCACATACGGTGTCGGTGAATTTTAAAGACACATTTTGACAGTGTTGGGAGTAATGCGGTACAAAAGTAATTAATTACTGTAATGCATTGCTTTTTGCTGTAATGTGGTAATGTAAGGCATTACAGGGAAAGAAAATGGTAATATTTACTCGGTACAATTGTCAGTAACGCGGTGATTACAATGCATTTTTAAACCCAGAATCAAGATGTGTTCCTTAAAAATTCAAATTGCGGGAAACCCGAAGAAAGATCCGGTATCTGCATATATTGCGTCATTTATGGACTCAGCTTTGCAGGCAGAGAGGACGCAGCGGTAACGGCTCAGCTGCAGCTGCACGCGGCCGCTGCAACATTCACAAAATCGCTCCACTAAAACAAAATAATTCACTTGCGATCGTTCATATCAGCGTATATTCTCTGGTATTTTGTGCTTTTCTGACGTGCTTTGCCTCAGCTGAGTTCATAATCTGTGCCCCGGTGATTTCAACTCATTGCTGCTGGAGCGCCGCGCATCTGAAGATCCCTCTGGCTGATCGTTAGAAAGTAGGAAGTCTAGGAAACAGTTTTTTCTGGAAGACGGAGAAAACATGCAGCATGCAGGAAGGTTAGAGAGAGAAAGGGCAGGAAATTATTCAAATAAAATCAAGAAAAAAAGGAAAAAGTAGGTAGATTTATCCCCAATACACATTTTTACCAGTGAAAAGCAATAATATATGAGCATTAAATATTTATACATGTGATAGAATCAGATCACCCCCAGAAGTCAGTCCCACATCCAGGGCCGTATCAAGGCATTTGGGGACCAAGGCAAATATAGGCTTGGAGCCCCCACCACCCCACTCGCTGCTCAGTTAATCTAAGATGGCAGCATGCTGAGAGTACAGATTGTTGTTGCTTTTATTGAATAAACAATCCTTCTAAAGAACTGTTTTTAACAGCAATCCTAGCTCAGACACCACATCACCTTCCACCGGATGTGTCATGAGTTCACCAGGCATCAGATTACCAAACTCATACTGCATGCATACAGCATGCTGAGAGTAAAGATTGTTGTTGCTTTTATTTAATAAAAAATCATTTTAAAGCACTGTTATTATAGCTGACTGTTTTTAACAGCAATCCTAGCTCAGACACCACATCACCTTCCACATATATGTCATGAGCTCACTGAGCATCAGATTACCAGATTCATATTGAAGTTGTTTTGGTGAAAGAAACTTAAAGTAATTCAAAAGTAGTGTAATGCCTTACATTTTAAAATCAGTAATATTGTAATGTAATGAATTACTTTAAAATGAGGGTAACAAGTAATAAATAATGCATTACAGTTTTGAAGTAACTTGCCCAACACTGCATTTTGATACCAAGAAGGCATTTATTTTCGAATGGGGGGACAGGACGATATTTTAGGTTATGTGTGAAAATAAGTCCAGGACTACAAATGCGCTTCACGAAATCGAACCAGACCCAAAGAAAACTAAGAAAAAAGGGCTGTAAGTTCAGCAAACTTCCCACAGGAGGAAAGAACCACCATAAATCTGGTCATGTGGTAAGTAGCAGCTAGGTTAGTGGAGAGATTATGTGGTGACATCATATATGCGACGTGTCAATTTTTGGTGTGTAGTCATGCTAATTATGAACTTTTACAAGCTGCTAAATCTCAAAGTACGTGACTGGCGTGGTTGAAACACCCATCATTACTTTTCATTTAAATTGCAATACAACATATGTGCGATCCAGGGCGTAAGGCAAAGCGGATTAGAAAATTGCGTTTTTAGCCCAGTTGACTTGAATTCATTTTTTTTTTTTTTTGTTCTTCCGGGGACCCATGAGCCGACCGGAAAGGGGAGGAGACGTAGGCTCCCTATAGCAGCTTTGATGGCGCCATTTTATTTCTAAAGCTTTAAATTGCTCCAATCTCATGAATGAAAGAATGAATTTAAACTAATTTGGTTAAAAAAAAGATGGTGTGCTTTGCTCTGAAACCTTTAATCAAAGGACAAACCACAAGCACATGCGAGCGTCTCATAAATCACTCAAAAACAAAAATAAGACTCCTTCCACCTGTGTTTTCAGCAGTGACAAATGGCATTGACAGTGGTAGGAGGATACCTGAAGGATATAAATAGAGGAAGGCGGTGTGGTAAAGGTGTTAGGGGTGCTGTCTAAAGTCCAAACTCTAATCTGTATGACGGGGTGTAATACCGCACACCGTGCTGTTCTCCATCAACCTTCAACCTGACATCCCATCTGTGTGGAGAGGGTAATGGAGGGGTGTTATTAATCACCCCGCTGTTTGGTCCCTCTGACTTCAAAGAATTAATCTCTTTACCTTGGCTTCATTCTCGCCGGTAGGAGAATACAGCAGCAAACACAGGTGGTCGCGTATGAAGGGGGATTGAGGACGAAGGTTAAGCTGAGTGTGTGCTGTACATTTACTGGCACTTAGAGGTTGGGATGATGGAGATATTTGCATTTCTCAAACATTTTATTAAACTGACCTTTCCTTTGGATGCACAGATACAATCCCAAACCCAAATATCCAATCAAACCATTAAATAGAGTCTTGGTGTTTGCATCTTATTATGAAATTACTAACAACTTAAGAGTTGTAGCTTTATTTTTGTTAGAAATGCAACAGATGATTGCTGACAGTCTCAAAGTGGCATTTGGGCGCAACTACTTCATACATAAGGGTCACATTAGCAGAGGTGTTGGAAACTGACCATATGATGGTTGGCATGTGTCTCAAGACGTCAAAGTGTCTTTAGGGAGACAACAATCTGTTATTTATGGGAAGCTGAAGTGAGCCAGAGTAGATCGGAGCTGAAGACGGCAAGATTTGGAGTCTAATTTCCTGATATTCTGACATCTCGCTTCTGATTGGCTAACAGTGTCTCTAACACATACTCCGTTTAATCTGCAATGCTGATGTTTTATCTCTACAAATAACACAAGCCTGAAGGACTTCTGCTGTGCGGTGGAGTTGCTAATGCTAACATTAGCTTCTACTAGCGGAGACGTGCTCTGCTCGCTCCTGGACGACAAACAGCCTTCCATGGGTGAGTCCACGAATGCTAGTTCACAGAGAGATGTACATCTGACTGGTTTTGCTAATTCAAACGTTTCCCCGTCTATTTTCTATTGGTGGCTAATGCAGGAAGTAGGGGTGGATTAGCCTGCATGTGAAAGTCATGAGTGATTTGTTTTTCAAAAATAACAAATAAGAAATGGTTCCTCTGTGAACCTGGTCTGTCGGCCTCGAGGACAACAGCAGATCAGTAGAAGAACTGGCAGCAGATTTTAACCTGACGGGGATTCCAGTTACTGACACAGGTGACCATTTTACAATTCACATAATCAACCAAGAAACAACATCTAAAGTCTTATCTGGGATGTGCTGTAAACTCTAACCCATATTCCTTATATCTTCCAAAAAAGGACAAATTGTGAAACCTCTGACCCAGTTAGCAAGTAAAGACCAGTTACTACTCTACACACCAAACCCAGAGTTACTGAGAAGTCAGAGGCCGAGCAGCTGATTAATTTCCTGGATTAAAAATCAGTTTCTTCATCTAGAACAGTTTGGGTTTCGCTCAGGATGTTCGACAGAACTGGCTACCTCACACCTCACAGAAAGTATTAAAAGACGTGTAAGCGTTTATTTATCGGCTCTCCAGCTGTTAGCCCTCAGGTCGTATGGATCCATAATGTTTGCTGGACACCTTAGCTAAACATTGATCCCTGGCATCATTGCTAAGTTTCTCCGGATGGAACATCTGTTTTTTTTTTATTCTTCTTTACACCATTTATAGCTTAAAAATGAGTTAAACTACAAAATCCAACAGTTTACCTCTGCTCACCATCCAAGATGGCGCCAGAGGCATTGTGTGTTGGTCATGTACATTTTAGTATGTTCAATAAAAACAAGCTCATTGACAGACATCAAAGATGTTATCAAAAGCAAAGTTTTCTATGTTACAATTTAAAATAACATTTTAGATATTTGTATTTCCCTCAAAAATGATTTGGTTAGCTCTGCTAAT